CTTGATGGTTATTGTCTCCTCCTTTGTAATATTGGGGAAGTTTTCTCCCAAGAATTCCCTTACTAGTTTAACTGTAGATTTATTTTTTTCTTTCTTCTCAGGCACCCCAATAATTTGAATATTATTTCACTTCGTGGTATCCCAAATAATTCTCAGGCTTTCTTCATGTCTTCAGGTTCTTTTTTTTTCCTATTTGATTTTTTTCTCCTGTTTGCTGAATTCTACTTCATTGTCTTCAAGTTCACTGATTCAATATTCTATTTCTTCCATTCTATTAGTCAGATCTTATGCTTTGTTTTTTACTTCTGCTATGTCATTCCTTAGTTCCTGAATTACCTTGGGGTGTGAGGTTTCTGGTAGCTCATTTAAAAAAAATCTGTTTTCAGGATTGATCCCCTAATCTTTTGTAAGGCCTTGGGCATCATTTTCTTTTATTCTCTATCTGGCAGTTCAAGGGCTTCTTCTGTGTATTCCATTGGGGTGGGTAATCTTCAGTTGTTGACTTTTATTTCTCTTAATTTTTTGTTGCAGTTGCTGATAGCTGTTGTTTGCATTGCATAGTGGTTGATCTGCGTGTGATGCATAGGATTCTAGGTTGTGTACTGGGGAAGTGGGGGTGTTGGCTTGTTTGGTTAAAAGAGGATTAGATTGGAGCTGAAAATTGTCTTGCATGGGGATAAGGAGGAGTGATAGTTGAGTGTGTAGGAAGAATGGTATATAGGTGATCCGGAGTAAGTTTTAAGTGGTGGTATTAATCATAGGAAGCTTTTCTGTTAACTATAGTAATTTTTCATGAGTTGGAGAAGAAGATTATAAAAGATGTGTTGTTACTTGGCAGGTTATAATAGAGTGTGTGTGACTGAGATGGAGGAAGCGGAGTGTTGCGGTAACGTGCTTGGGTTAGGTGAGAGATATATTAAGAAATCTACCAGTCACTTATCAAACCTGTATATTATATAAGGAGAGTGTAGCATTTTTGTTATTGTGTTTATAACAGAAGGCCCTTTTTATTCCTGCACAATTCAGTAATGTCTGCTCTCTGTGCGGTCCCAGGGTGCAAATAGGCTATTGGAGTGAGGACCCAAGGTGGAGGAGAGAGGGGAGACTTCCAATCAGGAAGTGTCCTGCTAAGGACCTAAGTCCCATTGTCCCCAAAACACCTTGTGGGGGAGGGAAAGCCACTGAGGAACATGGGCATGCTAGTTTGGTTCCTCTGGTACAAAAAAAAGTTTGTGATTTTCTTCCTAAAAAAACAACAACATAGGAACAGGACATTAAAGGCATCCTCACAATTTACTCATACATGCTCCATCCTTGGGACATCATGGTGGGGTACTGATGACAGGCCAGGCTCAGCTACATCTGCTACTCACAGATCTGTGCAAAAGGTGTCAAGGACACCCTGAAGACTGAATTCAAAGCCAATGCTGAGAAGTCTTTTCACCACAACATGACGATTGTGAAAGTGAAGAAAAACTAATCTACCCAGACTAAAGCTTGACACGCCACTTGGCCAAGGTGAAGATGTGTGGGCACGTCTTGTGGCACCTTAAAAATGATCTCTCTTGGGTGGGAGAATGCGGCAGAATGTCTCAGTGAGAGATGGACAATAATGCCAATAAACTGAAGTCTGAGTTACCAAAAAAGGAAAGAAAATAAGAACAAATTAATATATTCTTGAAGACCCCAGAAAGTTCAAGTTGTGTTCCTCTCTTACCAGGGGCAGATCCATTTTGAGTTAGCTGGGAGTTTTTGTCTGGCAGCCATTAGAACTGCACCCTTGCAAGAAGGGGTGGAGAGAGGATCCACTAAGAGAGTTTAGTAATTATGAAGGCTCTGTTCCATGGGCTGCAGTGACCTCTAGCATCCAGGACTCCCAGTGGTTCATGAGGGTGTCAGGCCAGGGGATCCACTTGGGAGAAGGTCTGGGTTGGGCTCTTCCTCCATGCTGGTGGTCGCAGAACTAGGGAAGAAGGAAGGATGCTGGCACTCGCTGCCCCACTGACCCTGCTAAGTAGTTGGAGAGGGGAGACCACAGTGAGCTCTCTGGGGGCAAAAATCAGAGAATAGAGTCTAAAATAATCATGGAACACTGAAAGTCTAGTTCCCACATCTAAAGTCCCACCCTGGATCTCCTTACCTGTAGATCTCTGGGCCACACAAGGGAGTTCTACTCAGGAGAATCTATCTCGGTGCCATCCCCAGAACCTCAAGACTCTTTTTGCTTTTTTTTAAAATGCTGGTTAAATTAGCATTGCTTTTCAATCCAAGTGAAATGAAACCTTTGACAAATTCAGACATTTCTCCACTTATGTAGGTATTTATTGGTCATGTTGTGAAAATGTTTGTTTTCTTTACTTTGATTTACAATCCACACTAAAAACTACAGTATTTGATGTTTTTCTGGAAATCCTTAAAGGGTTCTACAGTTTCAGCAAGCAAGGTTGTGTCGTCTGCATATTATAGATGGTTCATTAGTCTTCCTCCTCTCCTGATGCTGCATTCGTCTTCACATAGTCCAACTTCTCAGACAATTTCTTAGTATACAAGTTGACTAAGTGTGCTGAGAAGATAAAACCTTGAGAGACATCTTTCCTGATCCTAAAACATGCAGCATTTCTTTGTTCCTTCAAATGACTGCCCCTAGGTCTATGCACAGGTTCTGCATGAGCACAATTAAGTGTTCTGTATTTTCCATTCTTTGCAATATCATCTCCACTTTTTAATACTTAGAATTACCCCAAAATGGCATTAGATACCTTAAGAACAAGGAAATTAATATTGAGATATTAAAATAGAGATGATATAGTCATTAGATAGTGATGCAGTTTGTAAACCCTGATAGCACTGTGGGTTAGGTCTGATAACCTCAAGGTCAATGGTTCAAGTCACTAATTCCATAGGAGAAAAATGAGACTTCTACTCCCATGAAGACTTACAGTCTCAGAAATACTATATAAGGTTTCTATGACTCTGGATTTAGTTGGCAGTGGGTTTGTTGGATGCTACATTTTAATCTAAAATATCAGAATCAGAATAATTTATAATACAATATCTAAGATTATTATAATGGTATTAGTAGTGTGAGGTAGGTAGTTTATTGTGCCAACCTGGTTGGTCAACACATGTGGGGTTAATTGAAGGGCAGAGTTATAAATGGCTCAGTGAGCCTTGCCTTTCGAGTTCTCAGGTCTCTTGCTTTGTGATGGTCACACCAGGGTGCAGCTGCCTTAGCAGTTCCCTGCTTCAGCTGGCAAGGCTCACTTCCTGCAAGACATCCCCAAAGAGAAGCCTACCCTGATCTACTCTGATGCATCCCTGGGTGCTGGAGCAGCTGTGTGGAGACCCTTGCCAGAGCAGAGATGCTTACATATTCACTGATTTGGCTTTCCTCCTGCAGTCAGCATCATACCTTGTGTTTTGTGAGATGGAGGAAGGCTTTGTGGATTGGTATTGGACATATGGGTTAATGGATTAATGTTGGACTTGTGGGCTTGGGTAGCACTGGGTTGGGATGTGTTCTTGGTCTTCACTTACTCTTTATATAAAACTCTTTCTTATACTTGAGTTTTTATGGATTTGTTTCTTTAAAGTACCTAGACTAACACATAGTGTAATGGAAAAAGCGCAATATAGCCAAGGTTAAATCTTGCTGTTTTGTATATCATAGGCTTTTGTGCAATATGATGAATGTCTAAGTCTCCATTCTCTTGTGTAATTTTCTTGGTGAAAATGAAAGAATTTTTAAACTGCTCTGATACCTTATTTGTGGTAAGTGTTATAATTCTATAAGTGTTGGGAAAGACTCTCCTTCTTATATCTATCGGTCTCATCAAGTATATGCAGGTTACTATTCTTTCTTTTGAGCCAAATAGTGATCTTATGGCATCCTTCATTTGATTTTTTCTTGCTGAGTGTGTAATGAGTATAATAGATGTGATTTGAGTTAATCAGCCAAATTATTTACAAAATGTTTAATTCAATAAATGTAAATGCAAAACTCATAGTGGTGATGCCAATCCTGATTGGCACTAAATTACTCATAATAAGTCTTTGAACCCTGTCATTCATAACCATCCAAAGTCACTTAAGAATATAAACATACTATATCTGATGTGCAAAAGCATCATAGGAGCATACAATCTCAATGTGATAAAAAATTGACATATATCAAAATTGTATGTCTTTATCTACAGGTACTATGCTTATTAATGATGAAAGCAAAAGGTGAACCTAGTAATATCTACTCTTCACCAGCTATTTGTTAAATATTTGTTTCATAGGTAACAGAGTTACCACATACACTATATGAGTAAAAAGTAACTATATAAGTAAAAAAAAAAGTTAACTTTTTAGAGTATTTGGAATTAGAGAAGAGGTCTCTTAATAACATTACACAAGCAGGCTTCATAATGTAGGTAAATATTTGAGTTTAAACATTTGTACTTTTAATTATGATATTTGTTTCATATTTAAGTAAGTAGAATTTCAATTTCTATAAATTTGATATAAAGTATTAACATATTAATAACTAATATATTATAAATTAATATAAGTTATTGTCTTGAGACATTTGGCTGTTAAAAATGTCTATAATGTCAAGAGTAAAATTGTGTTTAGAACAAATGGTCAAATCTTATAGAAGATGTGGTATTGTATATAAAGGAGACTTTTAGTTAACATTAGTACTGATGAAAATATTTTTTTAAATCATATTTGGTTTCTTCTAGTAAGATAAGAAAAAGGGTCATTTATTTAGATTTAGTTCAACAGATTATTTTTGAAAACACTGAACATATACAGTACTTCTATACAACATTATGGTCCACAATTTGAGTGATTAAACATCATTGTCTTCTCAAAAAAGCAAAGCAAGGCATTTCTAAAGAACAGAGTTTACTAAACTGGAGTCTGGACTAACACAAAACCATATGTCAAAATCCTAGAAGAAATATTGAAGATACCTAGTTGTATGCTTTAAAATTGAAAAGGAAACCCATGGGACTTATTTCCTTGATATTACTAACAATCTTTATGAGTCTCACGAAGTCAAAATGATGATCAAGCTTAGTATGCAGAAATTCTACATATATTTTAAAATTCAGAATGATAGATTTTTACCACCACTGAATAAATTTAAAAAAGAATATGTCACAGGTTATGAGTATGATTTCAAAAGAAATTTTCAAATTGGTGAGATTGGCATCATTTTATATATGTACCTGTGTGTACATACAGAATTATTTCATTTTTATTTCCAATTAAAAACAAAATTACACATTAGGATCAACATATTTTGAAAATTTTAGTGGTTTCTTAATGTGATGGATACTTTGAAGAAATGATAATTTTTAGTCTTAAATCTTCAGGAAATTTGATTTTTAAAATTATTGTTACTTTACAAAATTGTGTGTTTCTTTAAATATATTTTTTTAATAGCAAACATAAGAGAGGTAACTTTTATAGTTGCATTAATTTGTATGCACCTTTTGTTATTGTATTTATTAATCTGTATTGACTCAGTCACTTGGTTATTCTTATATTATTAGGAAATGAAGAAGGGTTTATCATACTTTTAAAAATATAGAACATAGACAATTGTTTATCTTCCTGAATATAAATCATTCCTGAAATTAAAATAACTATTTTAATAAACATCTGTAATATTAGTTTTTAATACTATGTGAGTTTTAAAAACGATAACAATAAATGTTTCATCTTCCATTTAAATTTTAAATTATTCACTAACAGAAAAAAATCCAGCATAGTAATTATTGTTCTGGCATTACATTTTAAATTCCATTTTATAAGAACTGGCTATTCTGTTCTGGTGAGCTATGAACATTAAGGCAGATAAATTGAGTGTTATTAATAAAGATCTATATCTCCATAGAAATATAATGGATTAAGGGAAAAGGGCTAAAACACTATTACATGAATATTTGATATTTTTATACAATAATCATAGCTAAGATATTTTATAACCAGATGTTTTAAATGCAGTATTTTTTGCTAACTCCTTTTTAATTCTGTAAGTTGCAATGTTCTGTGAATTGCTGTATACTATAACAGAAAATTTTTATCATTAGAGTTCATTTGATTTAAACTTGTGTCTTCTATTTTTTCACTTTTAAAAAATACATAAACATATTTTTGTTTATTATTGCATTTCTAATAATCAACAAGGTTATATACTTTAATTAACTTACTCTATAAAACCTTGTTATGGTCTACTTTAACATTGGAAGACACTCCATGAGTACCACATTAAAACACATGCCTGTGATTTATCTTACAGTCTAGTGTAAATGTTCATCTTTGGTCTTCCTGATTCAGTGTCCAGCATTCATTAAATACAAGGTGTTGGAAGATACCATGGCTTAGATTAGGCACACCTTAGTCCCCAAAGTACCCTCCTTATTTTTCAACACTTTAAAGGAATCTTGGACAGCAGTTTTACTCTGTGCA